TATCACAATAATTTAAAAAACGCCTAGGGGTATTTGCCCACTGTACCTCCATACCAAATTTCAGGACCTCGGGCCCTAAAATGAAGAAGCTGAATCCATTTAAAAATGGCAGGAGAAGAAGGAGAAGGAGGAGAAGAAACATCAGAAAAAGCAATATGGGTTCACCACCACTTCGTGGTGTGGTGAACCCATAATCAAGCAAGCAACTGGTCAAATTAAGAAGGCGCTAACAGGATTTTCCTATAGTCTAGAATGTATCCAGTTGCGTGATTTTTTTTTGTATTACGGAAGAGTGTTGTTATGTTATGCATGGCTCCTCATCCTTCATGCCTGCAATTTGGAAATACAGTAGAATAAGAATAACTTTATTTTTTATTGCACAACAATTGTAGCAGCTAGAATGTATGACAATATATACATACTTACAATGTAGTTGGTATTACTAACATTTTATTTATTACTAACTGACAGAGTTGTGTTGTTCATGTAGGGGAGGCCAGGAGAGCTCGGACGCGACCCTTGACCTCTGCGTGCACCGGCAGGACTCGCTGGGTCACGACAACTTCGTGTTTGCCGTGTGTCGGGACCACAAACTCAGGATGTGGTCCGCCAACGTAAGTGAGGATTGAACATTTTTGAAGAAAAAGCCCGTCGTAGAGACTATTGTAGGTCAGGAAGTAAAGGACAAGCATTCACCAGGAAGTGGTCTACTACTAGTACTAATGTAAGTCTGCAAAACATGCTGAACAAGAAATCAGAAATTCAGGCAGGAAGTACAGGACACCAAACAACCAGACTCATCAGTCAGCCACCCAAAACAATTACTTCCATAAAAAAATCATGAACGCTTCCTAGAGATGCTCCTGGTTCTAAGGACAACAACCCCCTTTCTACCTACCTACCTACATTTGTACCTTGTCCCTTCACCTCCTGGTTGTTGGGGGGATAAGGCAGAAGTTACAGAGGATGGACAGCTGTCTCCAGACCTCTTTATCTAACCCCCTTCAGTGGTATGCAAATCTCTGGTAATAACTGTCTGGATTCAAACTCTAGGTCCACCAAACACTGGACCACATGTTCTCCTAATGCTCTGTTCCAGGTTAATGTAGGGAATGATTTTACAGGTACAGGTATCATGTACATGTACACAACCCTGGTATGAATGTATATCCTCTGTTGCCTCCCCACACAGGACCAGGAGTGTGTAGCAGAAGCTGATCTCTTGGACTTTGTGGCCGACAAGATAGACCAGCAGACTGCTCCAGGTATTTCTTTTTTTTTTCAAACTTGAAACAGCTGGATTGGTAGTGTAATTATAGTATTGGGTAAAGATTTGGACCAAATTTCTCATCGTTATATGAAGTTATACCTGCACACTTCCTATTTGGGTATATCATTTACCTTATGCAGTATTTCCTATGCTTATCGCTAGGTGGCGCACGTGTACAAAGCTTTAATCGCAAAGCATCACGGGATATCATGACGTAATGACTATGTTCGCCGCCATTTTCCTTGTGCGAACGCGAAGGGGTGCACGTTCGTTTCCCTACTCCTTATTTTTTCGGATTTTCTTTCGGCGTTAGGCCCAAAAAGAAGGATAAAACGAAGTCTTCTGCCCACGAGGGCGATTCAGGTAGCCTTTCGGAGGACCAGACGGGTCGTAACGGCAAGAGAAGCGGCCTGTTTCCCAACGCTAGTCAGGAAAAATTCCTGGCCGTGGAAAATATACAGGCGTGCCTGCACATGCCTCCGGACAGGAGGAAGAGGAGTCGGGTGAACGAAAAGTCCCCGCTCCTACAGCTGGAGGTTCGGAGGAAAAGAGAAGAACTCCAACCTCATTCCGCCGCTTGGGAGCGAAATGCCCCTCGGCGTTGGCACCGGGAACATCCGCCGCTTGGGAGCGAAATGCCCCTCGGCGTTGGCACCGGGAACATCCGCCGCTTGGGAGCGAAATGCCCCTTTGGCGTTGGCACCGGCAACATCGGTCAAGGAAGGAGACGGCGCGGAGCTGCCGCCGCCCCGGCCTAAAATTTCCTCCGGGCTCGGAGGAGTTGGGCTCCCGACCGTGCCGAAGCTTGGTGGGGAAAAAGTCTCCCCCACCTCCATCGGAAACACCCTTCCACCTGGATTCGACGCTGCCTCTTTCTTCAGTGGATCAGTTCCAGCCTGGGACTTCCTCAGGCGTCCAGTTCATCCCGTCAACCTCGGGACGTTGACGGGGCGGTAGCGTCGACCAGCCGAACCGGTGTAGTCGGTTCCGGGCGAGAGCATCCAGGTTCTGAAGTGGAAGAGTGTTCGGAGGAAGGGAAAAATCTACCTTTTCTGACTCTGACGAAGGTAACTCCTTGTCGTTTGGTAATCCCTACGATAATAACTTCAAATAAGTATTTGGAGGAACCGGTGGGCAAGTCGGTCTTGAAAACATGTTTCATATCTTGTTTCATGTCCTTGCCACACATTTCACGTCTATACTGAGTCATAGTAGAGGAAACTTTTCCCACTCCACCTAATGTTGAATTAGCACTTCGGGCGCCGATTCTAGACCCAGTAGTGGCTAATATGATCAAGCATGATACCGTAAACACGGATAAGAATTTTAGTGATTGCCAGGATAAGATGCTCATGGCTGCTAACCTTTTAGTAGAGTAGTTGTTGGCAGCAGTTAAACTCCAAATTTGTGAGTAAAGTCCTCGCTCAAAAATGTAGCGACCTGCTCGGGAACTTCAGATTCTTCCCCTTCTTAATTTGGAGACACCTTTTTGGAGAAGGTTAATTCAGCCGATTAGGCTAGACGCACTTTGAGTAAGGCTTATAAGTCAGCCCCTTCGAGCACTTCTAAGTCCAACCGTTCAAAGTTTAACTATAGCTACAACAAGTACTCCTCAAACTAAAAAGGTTACAATTTTCGTCCCTACAACAACAAACCTGTAATTCTACCCTAGCCATCTAGCGGTTTTGGTCAAAACTGCAGCGTTTTGCCCAAGTCTCACTGAATCTCGCGAGATATCGGGAGATTTGAAGAAAACAAGATGGCCGACCTCGTGCCGAGCGCTACACATTTCTATGTTCAAGGCCACGAAAACGTGTCCAAAACTCTAAAAATGGATTGAATACAAGGTCACAACAAAGAAGAAATGTTCTTCTCTATATGTTTGATTTGTTGGAGCACTGATTCCTCATTTGAAGGGAAGATTTTCGTGAGTTATTTTTCTTCCATGTTGCCGAATTTTGAAAGGGGATTTTCCACGTTACGATCGCCATATACTAGCCCCTAAAAATCTATTCTCTGACTGTTTGGGCTGTATTTCATGGAGAAATTAGCGCTGTTTACATGAAAATAGGATTTTCAAATGCCAGCAGGGTGTCAACATTTTACCAAACACATTGATTTTGTGTAGCAAAGTGGACTATTGTTATTCAAATAGCGCCTTTTTACAACTTTTGTCAGACAATACCGATGGGCATAGTGACGCCGCTTGGCCCCCAAATCAGCAAAATTTCACGAATTAGCCAAGCTAACACAAGCAAAAGTACGAAGAGAAGACCCTACATTTGAAAATTTTTTGAGAGGCGCAGCGCCCTTGTTTCATTGCTTGGGGAGACCCCTGATCATTACTAGTAGTAGTTTTCTTAGACGACTTACCGATCATTGCAAGGTCGAGGGAACAATGCTTAGAGCACATTGCTATAGGCAGAGAGCTTCTAGAGCAACTCGGTTTGTTCTCAACCTGGAGAAGTCGCGGTTGGTACCGTCTCAGGTAGTGATTTTCCTAGGCCTTGTTCTCGATTCTCGTACTTTGACAATTTACCTAACCGAAGACAAGTTAGACAAGGTAGTGAGTTCTTGCCTATCACTTCTAGAACAGGAGGTGATAGGAATCAGACAGCTAGCCAGCGTGGTGGGGCTGTTAGAGTCCGCCAAGCAAGCCATTCTTCCAAGGCCCTTACTTTTCCGGGCTCTGCAACAGCTTCTCAATTTTCGACATAAAGAAGCCGAGAGAATTTTGTCTCTTTAGTCAGTCTAACCCCAGATGCAGTAAAAGATCTACAGTGGTGGATCGGTCATGTGCGCGAAGTAAAGTCTTTGTTCCGTCAAACCTGACAATTTGCACGGATGCCTCACTGGAAGGATGGGGCGCGCATTGTTATGGTCAGGAGACAGGCGGGCGCTGGTCGCAAACAGAAGCGCGCATGCACTGTGACCAACTGACTAGAATTGAAAGCGGCCTCCCTGGCGCTAAGAAGCTTTGTGAGCGCAGATACTCAGCATGATCTGCTAAGGCTGGACAACGCAACAGTCGTTGCATATGTGAATCACGTGGGGGGAACAAGGTCGCCAGATTTGGCAGCCTTGGCCCTGGAGATGTGGTCGTGGGCCCTGGAAAGAGGCCTGACGTTGTCTGCAACTCACGTTCCCGGATTGACAAACACCCTAGCGGACAAGTGTTCGCGGGTTTTTTCTGGACAAGGTAGAGTGGCAACTGAACCGCTCAGTTTTTCCTGTCATTGAACAATTGGACAGGCAATGCATTGACAGTAGATCTGTTTGCTTCTCGTATGAACGCTCAGCTGAAGGAGTATGTCTCTTGGCGCCCAGAACCAGAGGCCATGTCGGTGGATGGCCTAAACATTCACTGAGGCAACCTGGGGCTAGCGCATGCCTTTCCCCGCTTCAGCCTAGTGTTCAAGGTACTGAGGAAAGTCCAGTCAGACGTAGCAATAGTGATTTTGATACCTCCAGTTTGGGAGTCTCAGGCTTGGTACCCCAAGGTGTTGAACATGTTGTTCGAGAGTCCGGTTCTCCTGCCACAGAGCTGGGATCTGCTGTTCCTGCCGCACAACAGGAGACCCCATCCGCTGTTGCCAGATCTGATGCTTGCCGCGTGGCCAAGATCAGGCGACAGTTGCAGGGTCGGGGCCTTTCGGCAGGGGCTTCAGACCTCATCCTCTCGGCTTGGAGAGAAAGCACTTCTAGACAGTATCAGTCAGCATGGGCTCAGTGGGCCAGCTGGTGTGATAGAAGGAAGATTGATCCAGTTTGCGGCTCTATAGAGAGCGTAGTAGAATATCTTGAATGGATGTTCCGACAGAACTACTGCTATACATTGTATGTCAATTGGGGTGGCTCGTTCTGCGATCTCGTCTGTACACTTACCAGTAGACCATTGTAATGTGGGTAGTCACCCTCTAGTGTCCAAACTGTTGAGAGGTCTGTTTCACAAACGTCCTCCTTGTCCAAGATATGTTTCAACATGGGACGTCAGTCGGGTCCTAGAGTACCTTCTGCATTGTTGCCAAGCTAATAGTCTTAGTTTGAAACAGCTGGTTCATAAGTTGGTAACACTAGCGGCATTGGTGTCAGCCGACAGGGGTCAGACTTTAGCGACTCTTGACTTGAGATTCATGAAAAAAAAAAAATAGTAGAAACGGTAGTTTTCTTGGACAATTCCTACCCTGCTGAAACTTCTAGACCAGGAAAACCTGCCAGAAAGTGTTTTTGGGCGGCCTTCCCGCAGGACAGGCGCTTGTGTGCCTTCACATACCTGAAAGAATATCTAAGGCGGACTTCTTCCCTTCGGAAAGAAGGGGGGGGAGCAGAAGTTGTTCATATCGTACAGGAGACCACACAGGCCAGTGGGTTCTGCAACCCTGGCCAGGTGGGTTAAGTCAGTGTTAGGCACGGCAGGTGTTGACACAGCAACTTTCTCAGCTCACTCCACTCGAGGAGCGTCCACTTCAGCTGCTGCAGCTGCCGGGGTGTCTCTACATAGCATCATGAAGGCAGCGGACTGGTCAAGAGAGTCTACCTTCCTGAAGTACTACAGGAGGGACAACAACCAACACACGTTTGGCCAGGCTGTGCTGTCCACGGCTCTGAAGTCTGCATAAGGTAAATGATATACCCAAATAGGAAGTGTGCAGGTATAATTGAGGATTAGGCAAATTGTACTTACCATGAAGGACAATCCCAATTATACCTCACACGAACTATTTGGGTATATCTTCCCACCCTTGCTGTTCTTCAGCTTCCAAGTAGCTGAGAATGCCCACCCATGGTGAACAGCACAGACTCTTTCTCGCACGTCGTCAAATGGCGGCGAACATAGTCATTACGTCATGATATCCCGTGATGCTTTGCGATTAAAGCTTTGTACACGTGCGCCACCTAGCGATAAGCATAGGAAATACTGCATAAGGTAAATGATATACCCAAATAGTTCGTGTGAGGTATAATTGGGATTATCCTTCATGGTAAGTACAATTTGCCTAATCCTCAATTAACATCAAAAGTCTTGACAAACGGTTTGAAGCATAATACAGTCTTGTAGATCTTTGAGTTTTTCTTTTAATGCCCATGATCACCATTATGATCATCCTGGCATACTCATTAACACCTGAGCAAAGTGAGGAAAGTCTTGTGAAGTGCCTTTCAAGTTCAAGTTTCAAGTTTATTTATTTTCCCAAGGGCATAAGGTTGGTGACATGGCAGGATTCAATCTCGGGACTTCTTGTTTGAATAAATGATCCTTGAAAATGTATTTTTTGTATGTTTATAATTCAGAAAGTGCTGTACTTTATAAAGCCGTTAATTCCATATGTTATTTCCAGGCCAGAGCCACATGATCCAGAAGACATACGACAGTCAGACCCACAGCCTGTATCTGGTGGCCTTCCTCTCATTCGCCGATAGGTCCATGGTAAGGACATTTGTATCAGCATGGCAGCAAATTTTAGTCCTACAAGCGAGAATTAAGTTTAGCATTAGATGTGGTTAATATAGATAGATTTAAAGCGTTAGACAAAACTCTGACATATCCATAGCAAAATTTGTAATGGTTATTTGTTAGTGATAAGTTCATATGTGTTGTGTATTGTGTTTTTGTATGGGGGAGGGTAACTTGTAAAGGTGAGTATGCACCTGTTTTGCCCTCCCTTTCATTTTGTGAAAAATCAAAATAAACAACAAATAGATATTATTATTATTATTAACTTATAGATAAATATTGCTGCATCCGGAAAAGTATCTTAGTTTGCATGTCTTTCTTGAATGTTTCTTTGTTTCTCTATACATCTGACTAGAAGTTTAACTTAGTAGTTTGCAGAGATGAGCAATTGACGAAGAAGAACTTGAAGAAGAACTTGTTGAAGTTTATTGCACCCATTTCCTCCCAGTTTGTAGTTGTGCAGCCAGTCCTGGAGGATGGAAGATACCACTTCCTACACATGGCCACCCTGTGTTCACCCCAGGTCAGAGCTAGGAACAAGCGTTTATTTCATATCTCAATTTCTGGCAATGTATAGGTACCATAGGAATCATAGTATTCCACCTGTCTGCAATCTACAAAACTTTTGCCACTTAACTATTGAATGTCAATTACATGCATACTTTTACCTTTGCCTATATAGGAGATTATATGTTTTCAATGTCCTTTGTATGTGGACAGCGTAATTTGAGAACTTTTGGATACTAGACAAGTAGATCTTTATGTACATGTAGGCTTAAGTTAAGGTTTTGATACTAGAATGGAGGACAATTTTGATTATTGGACTCCTAATGGCTTTCTTTGGTACTGCAGCAGAATGCCTGGTTTTGAACCTTTTCATGTCTGGCCTCCCCTAGGAGAAGTTGATCAGTCTGCACCTGGACCCCTCCACCCTGTGGACTGTGTGGACCAACAGTTATGATGAGACTGTGGCCAGGTACTGCAGTATTGAAAGGTCAGTGAACTCCAGGTGTCTAACTTCACTTCAGTCTCTCCTGTAGCTTAGTCATGCAGCCGTTGGGGCAGCATGATGTTTGGCCAAGGTTTTACACAGCCACTTGTATAGTCATATGGGACTTACAGACACTCTTTGGTAGTACTGCAGTATTGAAAGGTTGGTGAACTCCTCTTCCAACACTGAATGGCATATGATAGTACTTTTGTCTTCTTCTATGTGCATGTTTGTGCAATATTACAGGAAAAGATTTTTCTCTATATTATGTAAGTGCAACATGGTCATATACATGTAGACACTGTTTGATGGTCCCTTAGATTATTTCCCCATTGACCCAACCATTGTAAATCTTTGTCTTAGTAGCTACCTAAGTCTGTAAGCATTATTGTCAAGCCCCCTATAGACAAGTTTGACTGTAAAATATTGTATTCTGAGGAAAGATTTTGCCAAGAAATGTCAGTGAGTACATCTGACGAAGGTTGACTAGATCGACCAAAAACTTATGGTGAGTTTCCTTCTTGTATTGGGAACTCTATTAACTATTAACTAAACAGCATTGGCCTTTCTTGTTTTCCCCTCCAGTGGCCCTGCAGGTCAGCAGGGTTGGAGCCAGGTCATCCTGGAGCCAGCGGTCAGTCCTGAGGTCACCGTGCCAAACCACCAGGACCCCAGTGTGAGTAGAGACATCATCACGTTTTCATTGTCAACTTGAATGTAACATGTCACTCTCACTATCCAGACTTTGATCATACTGCTGCTTTGGTCCCTGACACGGGTAGGCAGCAGTCGGCTGGAACAATACTGTAATTCGCTTAATGTTGACGGTAGCAAAAGTTCACAATCACAGTCTGAGAAAAATAGACACGTTCACAGAAAGTGTATGTTCATGGTGGTGACAGGTGCAGGAAAAAAAAAGTCCAGGAATTATTTGTTGACTGTAATGATAGCTTCACGGTACAGAAGTGACAGCGAACATAACAGTACCGTGAAGAAATCAGGAATTGCAGTAACATTTATTTTTTTAATTCATATTAAACTGCTTTATGAATTGTGTGTCATGATCAAACATTTACTTTGGTTGATGCTGACATTAGTTTTTTTGTACACCACCATTGTCTTTCAACTTCAAGTCAAACCATAGTTGATACATGTACATGTATGTGTTTTTTTTTTCTGCAGGAAGCCTATCTAGAACACATTTTCTACCCAGGGAGGTTCTCTTTGCAGACCATTGCCAAGGCTTTACATGTGAGTACAGTTAACATGTTTTTGGTGTAAGTATTTTATGACAATCAGCTTTCAAGGTACCTTTGATTTTATGTTTGCATATTATATGGAAAGGGTGGCTACATTGGCACATTTTGCTAAAACTACTTGCAAATTCAGTACTTTGACATTGTATGCTGGCATGAAAAGCAGGGACTATTTCTCTTTGATGAACTCTTAGATTATTTGACTACTGATACCTAGCAAACCTTGAGTCAGTTTAGTACTGTCAGGCCTCTTGTAAATGACCTTACATCCTCTGTAGATCTACCGCCGTGCTGTGGATGTGATAGCAGACTCATCAGCAGTGATGCAACTGTAGTTAGATTATTTGACTACTATACATGAAAACCTTGACTCGATGTACATGTAATAGTTAAGTACTGTCAGGCTTCTTGTAATGACCTTTTAATGATCTTCTGTAGATCTACCGTCGTGCAGTGGATGTGATCGCAGACCTGTCAGCTGCCGTGCTGAAGGAACAGGTGGCGCTGGTGGTGGAGACTGAGGTCAGAATAACTTCTGCATTGTCTTGTATTAGCCTCAAGATTAAACATAAATAAAAATACATAACGTTATGTGTCAAGATATCAAAATGTATTTGAGAATCAAGCTTTAGCCTGTCCTCCGGACAAAACAATGGATATTTACACACACACACATACATGTACATATAGTTTATAAGTATATATAAATTGTAAATACATATGACAGCGTGTGTGTAGATCTCTCTTTCTCTTTCCCTCTCTCTTTCTCTCTCTATCTCTCTCTCTCTCTCCCTCCT